TAAAACAGAAGCCATTTAGTCAAGTTTTATCCCATAAAATCTGAAAGGATGAATTTCCTTCAAAACTAGTTAGGTTGAATAAATTAAAACATTTAGAATTGAATAAAGAATTTTGAAAATAAACGTTTTTCACCTGTTAACTTTACAAACGTCTTTGCACTGTAATGTTAGTGCTTAATTTCAAGTCTTTAGAACTTAAATCTAATTAGCGCACATCTTAAAAGTTTGTAATGCTTTCATTCCTGACTCATCCTTGATATTCCAGGGTCTACGATCACTTTCGCTCTCTGCAATCCTGGAACATGTCAAGGCAAAATCGAAGGCTCGAGCGAAGTAATTTGATTGGCTCTAGGAGAAAAAAACTGACAAATCACAGGCCAATACGCTCCTGTGAAGATTACAAAGGAGCGACACCCATCTTTAAAGCAGTGACAACATACGTTATGATCTCGGGATTCAAAGCTCTGAATATTAAATGATTCAAAATACATTTAAATATAAAAAAAACTTACATAATTCTTTTTCATATCGATTACTCTAAAATACCAACCATTCTTGGTGTAAAAGTAAAGAAGACACTAATACCGCAACTAACGGCTTCTGTTCAGTACCTGGGACGAGATATTTCTGTCACACAATTCTGAAAGTTCAGAGATTTCACATATATAGTGAGTATAAATTTGTGATTAGTTTGTTGATGTAAAATCGATATATAGCATAAACTCTGTACTGATTGTAGACATCTGAAGGTAATGTGACGTCATATACATGTATGTATTTGCAAACAGTAAATCTAAGCACGTATTTAACAATTGAGTCTATTTTATAGCAATGAGTGTCACCTACTGCTTCCGGTATACTGCAAACAATCCTTAAATATAAGTTACTTGTCATCTAGACATAAATATATATAATAACAAGAAAAACGACTTTCGTTAGGTTAAGATACAGAAATAAACACGCGCTATTCGGTTGCAAACTGTATGCGTAGTAATCCGACAATGAAAGGTGAATCCTAGAAATGTTTTGGTTTCAGCATTTTTGTCTTATTTTGATGTTTGACAAGGCGAGTGACGTCAATGAATAAAAAAGACGCTTACTCTTCAGGAACACGTGGCCTTGCTTTTTCACGAGGCTCTGTGCACATCTTTCTTTTTCCATATTTTGTCTTAGTCTTATTTGAATTTGAATTATGATTATATTGAAATGTTGGTATTTGTTCTTCATGCTGGACAGACCAGACAGATTGAGTTGTGTCAAACAATATCCATGGCCTCAGTTATGTTTGCTCTCTGTGATAAGCTGCAAAAACATTTGTGATCTTCGGACTAAATTGTAGTTATTCTAAATTCTTTATTCTAAATCTAAGACGAAAACTAATTTTTTCATGACAACGTATTTCAGATTAAAAACGCACACCATCGACAAAAGAAATATTAACACGGAGACTTATCATTCTAAATCTCGTGATAAATGACAATTAAATTACATCCTGTAGAGTGGAAAATTTCAATATTTTTCGTGAAAGCGCAGCATTCAAAATTACTCAAAACGATGTTACATGTTTTCATAGCTTTCAATAATGGCAGTATAAATATGCCAGCTATTTCTCCATGTATATGGATTCTCTATCACTCCGCCGCAGAATATAGTTCCTCTTTTAAATTTTCTAATAATTTAACATGAAGCAAGTAAAGCACACGAAGCACTCTTTTGGTCAGATTCAAATTTAGTAGGATCGATACATTACAGTAAGTTAGCGTTCCTGTCAGCCCATAACATTCTCAAAAAAGTGATATTCATACTGAAAATCCTGCGGTCTGATTGGCCCGAAATAATAGTAATATAGATATAAATATATTCTCATTTAGTAACAATATTACATATATTTTCAATATAATGCATTATCTTTCGCCACGAAAACAATGTAATCAGAATAAGTTATCTAAAATTACTATAGATACTCTCTGTAACGATTAGATGTATACTCTCTGTAACGATTAGATGTATACTCCCCGTAACGTTTAGATGTATACTCTCTGTAACGATTAGATGTATACTCCCTGTAACGATTAGATGTATACTTCCTGTAACGTTTAGATGTATACTCTCTGTAACGACTCTGTAACGATTAGATGTATACTCCCCGTAACGTTTAGATGTGTACTCTCTGTAACGATTAGATGTATACTCCCTGTAACGATTAGATGTATACTTCCTGTAACGTTTAGATGTATACTCTCTGTAACGACTCTGTAACGATTAGATGTATACTCTCTGTAACGATTAGATGTATACTCCCCGTAACGTTTAGATGTGTACTCTCTGTAACGATTAGATGTATACTCTCTGTAACGATTAGATGTATACTCTCTGTAACGACTCTGTAACGATTAGATGTATACTCCCTGTAACGATTAGATGTATACTCTCTGTAACGATTAGATGTATACTCTCTGTAACGTTTAGATGTATACTCCCTGTAACGATTAGATGTATACTCTCTGTAACGATTAGATGTATACTCCCTGTAACGATTAGATGTATACTCTCTGTAACGATTAGATGTATACTCTCTGTAACGTTTAGATGTATACTCCCTGTAACGATTAGATGTATACTCTCTGTAACGATTAGATGTATACTCCCTGTAACGATTAGATGTATACTCTCTGTAACGTTTAGATGTATACTTCCTGTAACGTTTAGATGTATACTCTCTGAAACGATTAGATGTAACATCCATGTAACAATTAGATGTATACTCCCTGTAACGTTCAGATGTATACTCACTGAAACGATTAGATGTAAAGTCACTGTAACGTTTAGATGTATACTCCCTGTAACGATTAGATGTATACTCCCTGTAACGATTAGATGTATACTCCCTGTAACGTTCAGATGTATACTCAGTGAAACGATTAGATGTAAAGTCACTGTAACGATTAGATGTATACTCCCTGTAACGATTAGATGTATACTCCCTGTAACAATTAGATGTATACTCCATGTAACGTTCAGATGTATACTCACTGAAACGATTAGATGTAAAGTCACTGTAACGTTTAGATGTATACTCCCTGTAACGATTAGATGTATACTCCCTGTAACAATTAGATGTATACTCCATGTAACGTTCAGATGTATACTCACTGAAACGATTAGATGTAAAGTCACTGTAACGTTTAGATGTATACTCCCTCTAACGATTAAATGTATAATCCCTGTAACAATTAGATGTATACTCCATGTAACGATTAGATGTATATTCACTGAAACGATTAGATGTAAAGTCACTGTAACGTTTAGATGTATATTTCCTGTAACGATTAGAGGTATACTCCCTGTAACGTTTAGATGTATATTTCCTGTAACGTTTAGATGTATAATCCCTGTAACGATTAGATGTATATTCCCTGTAAGGATTAGATGTATACTCCCTGTGACGTTTAGATGTATACTCCCTGTAACGTTTAGATGTATACTCCCTGTAACGTTTAGATGTATACTCTCTGAAACGATTAGATGTATACTCTCTGTAACGTTTAGATGTATACTCCCTGTAACGTTAAGATGTATACTCCCTGTAACGATTAGATGTATACTCCCTGTAACGATTAGATGAATACTCCCTGTAACGATTAGATGTATACTCCCTGTAACGATTAGATGTATACTCCCTGTAACAATTAGATGTATACTCCCTGTAACGTTTAGATGTATACTCTCTGAAACGATTAGATGTAACGTAACGTTTAGATGTATACTCCCTGTAACGTTTAGATGTATACTCCCTGTAACGATTAGGTGAATACTCCCTGTAACGATTAGATGAATACTCCATGTAACGATTAGATGAATACTCCCTGTAACGATTAGATGTGTACTAACTGTAATGATTATATGTATACTCCCTGTAACGATTAGATGTATACTCTCTGAAACGATTAGATGAATACTCCCTGTAACGATTAGATGTATACTCCCTGTAACAATTAGATGTATACTCCCTACAATAATTAAATGAATTTTACCTGTAACGATTAGATTTATCTGTAACAATTGCTATATATTACAGGTAATGATTATAAGTCTACTCGCTGTTACAATTAACTTTATATTCCCTATAGTGGCCAGGTGGAGGAGGATTTCTGAAGTTAAAAACTGTAGCGTCGAGTCTGTCCCCACTACCACCTGTTTTACCCTCTTACAGTCAGGATGCATTGTTTGTTCTTAGATCTTTCTGTTGTCACCATCTTCCTGAAAAAGCAATAAAGTACTACAGCTTATATTTCCATTCGAAATTCACATATCCCATACAAATGCACGTGGTATACATGTAATCAGGCTTTATAAAGATAAATGGCAAGACAAACCTTCGAACGCAATGTTCATGTGGACAACATGTATTACCGGCGATCATCCCCAATTTAAAAACAAATTTTGAACTAAATACACCCTGCAAAGTTACTTATAAAACTATATTATACCACAAAATCGAAATTGTTCGAAAGAAATGTTAATACATGTATCAAGATAGGGAGATGCACGTGAATCAACATTCAATACGTTCCGTACTATATTTTCTAAAATCGTGCCACTAAAGTACTTTAAGGACAATTTGCAAAGTGGATAAAAAATCGATCATACCATCGATTCATTGTCAAAAACTGTCTGAGTCTGAAATATTAATAGGTACACAGAGCTACCTAAAGTTGGTATCATATACAATGTACATCTTGTGTCGATTGTAGAAATGTTTGTTTCTTACAAAAGATGTGTATTATACCGTTTGAAGTTTTTACACTGTCCAAAATAGTGACGTTTTAATTATCGAATAAAAATATTTTCACTTGTTTTCGTTGAAGAGGCATGTCGAATGTATTTTAAGGAATCATGGCTAACGGCTGTTTACATTTTCTTTCATATTTTGGTAGTAAGATATTTACAAATTTTCTCTTTTAGGTATTTCAGCAAGCAAATCCTGACCAATAATTGAA